TTTTCTTCTGAAACTAGATGGTTCTTCCTATTTACAAGATTGTTCTCCCATGGGCCGGGGGCCCAAGTATTGGCCACTAGTATTATAACCTTGTATCCTGGATGCTTTGGCTCAACCATAATGTAACTTTATTTCCTATACAGCTTCAAAATACCTACAAAATATTGACATTGTAGCATCCAAGCCACTTCTCCCAAATTGCCTCATATGTAGAAACATGTTGTACCCAGAAGTCATATCAAACTACTTGTCCAGATTGGTGGCTCTGACAATATGGTTACTGTGGCCCTAGGTTTCCTCAATGCTGGCCAAATCCACCTGAGTACTCAGTTCATAATCAGCAAGGAGTGACAGCAGAGGACTCTGGGGTCCTGTCATAGTGGCATGGACATGGCCAGCCCTAGATATCAGGGTAGGCAGGTGTGGGGGGTCAGATACGCACTGGACTTAGAATAAGTGTTTAGGTAGGGCCTATGCCGGGAGTCAGTGCCAGGAAGGAGCAGTGATGGGAAAAGGCAAGTCCAAGCTTGTCTGTTTGATTTGTTAGAAGCAAAGTCCATCCCAAATTTGCTCAAAAGTGAGGTGTTCATTATAAGACCATTGATCTGATGAAAACTATCAGTTGTCAGGAAAGGGTGTATTTTGGTGCTCCACTATTAACATGACTCAAACATCAGCTTCACACAGTCTGTGGGCTTCCTAATTCAAATTTTGGAAAGAAAATCTGATTGGTTCAACTTTGCCTGGGAATGGGCTTCCCTGGAGTCAGGTGTTCACCTCTGATCTAATCACCTGTGGCCCTGGCCTGGGGTCCATGGTAGTTTATCATGCCCTCCTTGGTGGTGGGCATAATAAAAAGAAGGGGATCAGGAAGGAAAGATGGGTACCTTGGATTATAACTCAAGGAGCAAGGACCAGGACCTATTGTACACACAGCTGGACTGGCAACCGATTGACCTTGGGGAAGCCAATCAGTGGATGACAGGCCTCAGAGGAAGGGTTCTGCGTAGGGGAGAATTCTATAAGAACAAGGCTAAGAAATAGCCCTTTAAGAAATTAGGGAGAATATGTCACCTGGTCACAGAGACAAGACAAAATAGGATTCATTCAGCTTATTAGAAATAGGATTCAAAGTGAGAGGGGGATTAATATGAGAGTGAGTTAACGCTGAGCTTCCTGATCCTAATCCCTCCTAAGTGGAACCATGATTGGTCTCTGAACCAGGGTAGGGCTCAGTCTAAGAGGTTCAGTCATTCCAGGGTTTGGATAAGAAAGGAAGGCAGGGACAGATGCCCAAGCATGACATCAAAGTGACAGATAAGACTCGCCAGTGGGAACTGTTTTTTATCTGTTCATTAAGATGACTGGAGCAGGTCAATGGGATATAATCTATTGCTCAGAGATTGACTTGCCTAAGGTCAATCTGATCCATCATGTAGACACCACTAAGCTCTGAAACACCAAAGCCCTCTTGATGCCACTAGAAGTCACAGACCAGGGCACTAATCTGTCCTAGCATAAAGTTGGAGAGAACTAAATGGAAAGATACTGCACATTGGATTGGAGCCCTTTAAAAGGCTTTTCAAGAAGGCTATATTGATAACCAAATTACCCAAAAACGTTTTTCTTTCATCTTTTTCAGCCAAAAAGGATATTTAGAAGGCAAGAACACATTAGGAGAGCAGCAGGTGATGAGACCAGCACGTGTTAGCTGCGGTAATAGCTCCCACCCTTCCTCCCTAATGTACTGTGCTTGTGCAAACACAGGGATTGCTGTGAGATGCACAGTGTTGGACACAGTTTGCTTTTATCTCTCTTGTTGTTCCCGTCTCTTCTGTAGATGTGAGGTTGTTTATAGTTTCCAAGTGAGAGATGCCACTCTTTGGTGTCTGGGAAAGGCTTTTTCTGCATCTGTGCCACCTGTTATGTTGAGCAGTGGGAGTGCTCTTGTTGTTTCTGTGATGATATAGGCACTGACTGGAAGCATATTGAGGGGAACCACGCTGTCTGAGGGTGGAGGGGTTCCCCAGATTGACTGTGGATCCCTGAGGACTTAAGGTAATTTTTCCTCTGGGTAACTCTGGTCTTCTGGACTCCTCCTAGTCTAAGTCATCTGGCGCAACACTTGCAGGTCTTCTTATTTGGGAGTTAATAAGGCTGTTTGCTAGATATTTCTGACTCTCCACTCTGCACTCTCTCAAGCTAGGGTGAGACCAAGTGAATCTTTCCAGCCAGAGTTGTGAGTGGAAGTGACATGGGCCATTCCCAGACTGGAGTACTTGTTAGTACAAGGATCTCCATGTTCACAAGAGTGGCTGCCCCGTCAGCCTGGATCCCTAAGTGACTGTGATGATCAGAGGTCTCGGCTCACCTAAAATGGACATGAACTATGAGAATAATGTATTTCATTGTTTCTAGTTACTTAGATTTGGAGGTTTTTTTTGGGGGGGGATTGTTATTACAATATAAACTAGCTACCTTGACTAATATACTTTCTTTATGGGATAAAGAAGTAACAATTTGAGCTGTGGCATGAGGAAAAGGCTTACTTTGTCCCAGTGGGATGAGTGAATTTTGGAGGAAAAAAAGCATTGATTTGAATCCCAACTCTGTTATTTACTTGCTGTTTGACTGTGGGCAAATTATTTAGCCTCTCTTAGCCTTAGCTGTTTTGTCTCTGTAATGGAAATAATAAATATATACTTTCCCCCAAAGGCCATTGTGTGATATGACACACACACACACACACACACATCCCACGCATGTCTACGGATGTGTATGCGTAGTGCCTGGTAGACTAGCAATGGACTATCAATATTCATTCCTGCCCTCTTTTAAAAAATTATCTACCAAAAAAGGAACAACATTTTTGTGATTTAGTGTGATTTAATCTATAGGGAGAGGCACTTGTTCTTCCTTGGGAGAACTTTGAGAGAGTTTATAAAAGCATGAGAATTAAACCCGTATCCATGAGGCACAAAAGCTATGGGCGGGGACATTATCAGGAAGCTAAAACCTTGGCGGCGCCTGTGAAGTTTCAAGTCTCTGCAGCCCCCTAGCGGCCATTGATTGCAGCAGCCGATTCAGAGCTGTAGACAAATTACTGGAGTCAATTTGCCTTTGGACAAGAATTATATAGAGAAATAGGGATGGAGTAGGGAGTAGAAGCTCTGGCATTTTGGTCTTTTTAGTATTTCAAATAGAAAAATATTCTTCTACCAGTGTGCACACCAGCAAAACCTGATGAAAATCCAAACCCATATGTGTACATACTGGGAAAGTATTAACCTCCATACCATACATTTTCTTTTCTTCCACCAAGGTAGGAACATCTTTTCTTCTCCTTGGGTGAGATAATTCTTTTCCCTGAAACTTGTAAAGGCAGTGTATCCAGTCTGAGAGGCCAGATGTCTGTCAAATTAAGTGAGTTGCCAAATATAAAGCCGGAAGCAAGTCATTCTGAGAATCGATATTCCTTTGTTATTAGGTCTTCCGCTTGCCAAAGGCAATGCCACATGCTGGAAAGGGCCCAGCCCTTGGGAGAGCACAGGTTTCACTTGGCTACCACCCCCTGTAGGGTGGTAGGCAATTCGCTGCAGCCCTTAGGAGCTCCCTGAGGGAGATCCAACTGGACACTATGCTCTGGTCCTATGAGCAAACTGCTCTGCTACCTGCCAGGCTTGAAATCCTCAAAAGAGGATCTTGCCTTATTCTTAGTTCTGACAGACAACAACCTTTGAGAAGGAATTGAGGGATTTATGTGAAGCAAAGATTGTAGTTTTATCTGTGGGTCTAGTGAACCACTTGTTATCTGAATTCTGTGTTGGCAGCTTGGGAAAGATGGAAGGAAAGCGAGAGGTATAACCCTTGCTTCACAGGTGAGTGAAAAATGCCCCTGGGTTCTCCACCCTCACTCTCAAGGCTGTAAGCAAGAGTGTTCCATCCTTCCTCCTTAGAGGGGTGGGGAACCTGCCCTCTTGGAGCCACATGTAGCCTTCTGGATCCTTGGGTGTGACCTTTTGGCTGAACCCAAATTTTACAGAACAAATCCTTTTAATAAGGGGATTTGTTCTGTGAAGTTTTGATTCAGTCTAGGGGCTGCCCTCATGGATCTAGAGGGTCACATGTGGCCTTGAGGCCGCAGGGTCCCCACCCCTTTGCCTGTTCTTTGTGGATGGCTAAGGCAGTGTAGTGGTTCAATAGCGTGTGAGTAAGGACTTGGGAGTTGACGAGGACTGTGTGACCCAGGAAAACTCAATTCAATTCTCCGCAACCCAGATTCCTCATCTGTAAAACTGGCATTAAAAATACTAACCTTGCAGAGCCTAGAGGAGGTGGCATATGTTCAGACACCATTCTGAGAGAACTGGGTGACTGACGGAGGTCTGAAATGTATTTGTGGTAGCTGAAGAACAACCTTGTCAGGCCAAGGCGCCCCTGCTCTGACTTCTTCTGTTTGGATGGGGGAACCACCAGGCTCCCAGCCAGGAAGGCGTTCAAACAGGGGAAGGGTGGGAGAAGACCCCGCCTCAGGGCCCTGATCTAAGCTGTCCTTGGACCTGGGGAAGTCGCGCTGCCGCTCCCCTCCTCCCCTTTCCCCTCGCCTCCAGTTTTATTCCGGAACCTGTTTTTCCGAAGTCGGACCCGTTTAATCTCTCAAATGCATAATTATGGAGAGTGCTTGATTGCAAAGGCCTCTTCCAGTTCTCCCATTTGTCTAAAACATGCGCCTGTTCACAGCAGAGAAATAGGGCAGGGAACCTGGAGGAGGGGAAGGAAGGAGAGAGAAGCAGAGGCACTGAGGGCGGGCGCGGAGGGCTCTGAGCTTTTCTCAATGAATGCTGAGGCCTCTGCAGATTTGCATAAGAGCCGGCCTCGCCGCGCCATTGGCTGGATGGCGCAGGCGGGGCGGGGCGGGCCGGGGCCTGCGTGGGTCGGGCAGCGGCACGGAGTTGGCGCGCGGGCCCCGCCCCCTCCCGGCGCGCGCTCGCGGCTCGGCCAGCTGCAAGTGGCGGGCGCCCGGGCAGATGCGATCCAGCGGCTCCGGGGGCTGCAGCGGTGGTGGCAGCTGGCACCTCCCGCCGCTGCTGTCCAGAGGGCCGCGGGGCACCGAGGCGCTTCCTGGGCGCCCTTTGGCTGGCCACCCAAAGCCACGGGCGCTGCGGGTGGGTGAGGCAGAGGCAGCCAGCTTTCGGGTGCCCCTGCCCTGAACGCGTTTGCTCCACGGCCGCCGCCGGGCAGTGCTGGTGCCGGCGAACTCCAAGGAGCCACGACGTGGGCGAGGCAAGGACGCTGCAAACTTGCGCAGCGGCGGCCACTGAGGCTCGGATTCGCGCCCAGAAGTTGGGCGGCCAGTGCAGTCCGAGGACTTCTCGCAGCCGAGGTCGCTGGAGGGTGCACCAGGCAGCAGCTCCCGCCCTCGACTCCCGCGCGGAGCGGAAAGAGGAGCTCGGGGCAGCCGAAAGGAGCACGGGAGCAGGCAGGACAGCAGGCACCGCCTCGGAGCCACCGTTCTCAGCTCGAAAGTTACCCAGGATTGGAGCCCGCCCCGGGAGGGGACAGACGCGAGCTCCGGCCAGGGACAGGAGAGGACGGTACCCACTGCCACCTCCCTTCAACCACAGTAGTTCCTCATTCTGAGAGCAGCGAGCTGCAGACAGGGGCGCGGTGCTCCGCAGCGAGCGAGAGGCACCGGGTTCCAGCTGTTGAACCTGGGTGCTACAGGGTCTCTGGACTCGCCCCTGGGCTTCCAGCCCCGTCTTATTTGGACACCTGCCTGCCTCTTCGCAGTAGGGGACAGCCACAGAATTGCGTGCATGCACATTCTCCGGAGATCAGGTGCAAGGAGCCGTTCAGGACCAAGGACTGCCTGAAGCCTCTTCCCATTTGGGGAAAGTGAAGGGCGAGGCTGGGCTAGGCAGAGTCAGACACTAGTATAAACAGCCTCCTCTGGCGGGATGGAAGCCTCCGTGCTCCTTTGGCTGCTGCTGCCACTGCTTTCAACCGCAGCCTTGGGCTCGGGGACTGGAACCGGCCCGCGCTCGGGCTTGCAGGCTGTGGGGCCACCGCTGCAACCCCGGGAGCCGCTCAGCTACTCGCGCCTGCAGAGGAAGAGTCTGGCGGTGGACTTCGTGGTGCCTTCGCTCTTCCGAGTCTACGCCCGGGACCTGCTGCTGCCGCCGTCCCCCTCGGAGCTGAGGGCTGGCCGACCCGAGGCTCGTGGCTCGCTGGCTCTAGACTGCGCCCCGCTGCTCAGGCTGCTGGGGCCGCCGCCTGGGGTCTCTGGGACTGTGGGCTCTAGCTCGCCAGCCCCGGCCGCGGCCCGCACGCTGTCCAGGGTGCTGAAGGGAGGCTCGGTGCGCAAGCTCCGGCGCGCCAAGCAGCTGGTGCTGGAGCTGGGAGAGGAGGCAATCCTGGAGGGTTGCGTCGGGCCCCCAGAGGAGCCAGCTGCCGGGCTGCTCCAGTTCAACCTCAGTGAGCTGTTCAGCTGGTGGATTCATCACGGCGAAGGGCGGCTGAGGATCCGCCTAATGCCCGAGAAGAAGGCATCGGAAGTGGGCAGAGAGGGACGGCTGTCCACGGCAATCCGCGCCTCCCAACCTCGACTTCTCTTCCAGATCTTCGGGACCGGTGAGCAGCTACTGCCTGAGCGTGTCCAGATTTGGGTTTTTTAGTGACATCAATCTGCAACGATTATTAAACCACCTCTAGACCCATCCCACTTCCCAAAACTTCAGCTTCTGTTTCTTAGCCCTCTCTCCTTCCGCAAACCTCCTTCCTGAGTTAGACCATAGTTTCTTATTTTCTCTTCTGAACACAGTCACTATCTATGGGCCTTCCTTCTTCTTTAGCAACCAAGTTGGGAGAAAAGTTTCCTGCTCTTAGCGGAATGCCTTCTTCTATGAACTTATACACCGTCCAAGCCAAAACTGGGTGCTCTTCTTCCTGGGTCCTGGACGGTTGAAATGCCCCTGTTACTTCTAAGTTCCAAGCTTAGTACTAAACCTCAAAAGTATTGTCCTGCTTCCCTCCCCCTTGTTCCTCTTCCTGGCCACCACAGATTTTGGGAAATGTACACCTTCTCAGGGAATATATAGTTTCTTTTCATATTATTAAATCCCACCCAACTGTCCCCCTGCCAAAGGTTGGCTCGCCCAGGGATTGCGTCTTCTTTAATAATTCATCCCGCTACTACCACCCCCACCCCAGTCTCGTATGCGCTCTCAGACTCTCATTCTTTCTCATACATGTTGTTGGGAGAGCCTCGGAAGAACTAAGGAGCCAGGGACAGGGGGGAGGTATGGAGGGAGGAAATTTGTCAAAATGGTCTTGCTTTGGGGGAGTTACCATGAAGCCACAAAGAAACAATAGTTGGTTTCCCCTGCATTTCTTCACTTTCCCCCCTCCTCCGTTCCCCCCTAATTCTTAGCTTGAATGTCTGCAGCAGTAGCTCTTGATGATAGTCTCTGGCAGGCTTGTTTCACTGCAGAGCTCTCTGCTGGAGACTCCTAAAAATGAGATTTCTGTCTCATTTACTCCCTCATTTCTTCCCATAGTCACTGAGTTGGGAGGGTGTGTATAGGCATTTACTTCTAACTCTTCTCATAGTACCTTTTGACTGGAAAACGAGTTGGTTTTGAATGGATGTTTCTCTTGTAAGACAACTGGGAAAAGACTTGTGAATAAAATACACATTGTCAATGAATAAGAAAAGCACAGAAAAGAAATCAGGCTTTTTAAAAGCCTATACTGATTCCATTGAGCAAACCCAGTTTCTTTTCTATCATTCTCATCATCAGAAATAAATGAAGTTCTTATGCTCCACTGGTTACTAATGTCTAGTATTAATTGGATGGAAAGCATTGAAAAGGGCCCATTGTAGAGCTACAAGTATCTCCCATACTTGTCTCAACGCACACACACGCACACACACACACACACACACACACACTCCCCCCCACACGCAATATTCTCATGCAGCAGGGATATTCAGAAGCTGAGGTTCCCCAGTCATTGCACAGAAAACATACTAGTATGTTATCCCCAAGGAAAACAAAGTGTGGATGCAAATTTCAGCACTAGCATTAGTGGCATTTGCACCTAAAATGACATGCAATCTGGAATTTATATAGTCCATCGTAAGAGGCACTGATGAGTTTGATAGTGCCTCCAGTGAACTAAGATGGGAAACTGATATTGTTGTCCCACCAAAGATACTTTTGTAAAGAACAGCTGGACTTTAATGTCATCTTGGCTTCTGTGGTTTTTACATGCGACATTCTGTTTTAGTGCCCAATGTTTTTGTAATAGACACAAAAATGACTTCTCTGGAAATGCAGATTTTCTTCCAGCTTCATGTCTATGGGCATGTTTGGTGCTTCCCCATCACCTCTTGTCAAATGATCATAGAACCCAGCAATCAGCTGTTGTCTGTTGATGTTGGTGACAGGCAAAAGGAGTCCTTTCTACAGCCCCAAACCTGTCTGCTAGAAACAGGTAGGTTGCAGGAAGCTCTCAGTAGGTGTCTCTGAAGAGTCACACACTTAATGCATTTGAAGAAATACTCCAGTCAAGCCTTAGATAAGGAGTTGAAGCTGCCAGGTAGGGGGAGGGGGGCATGTAGAAAAGAGTGTGCTCCAAGGGCTGTTCTGCTACTGGCTACAGGAAAGCACTGTGAGCATCCCAAGTCCTCTCTCAGCAGCACAGTCCATTTGGCTGCTGGACCAAGCCCTTATGCATCATTTGACACATTTAGTAGTGCTGATTTCGGAAGGAGCCAGGATTCTGCCATTAAAAGGCCAGAAATTTTGGCCAAGCATTTTTCAGCAGGATTGGGATCAAATGATTATTGATGGGATCAAATAAGACACTAAGTGTAACTGGATGAGCTCCCCATGACCTCCACAGAGACAGACAACCTATTGAAAAGCACTTCAGGCCTTGTGGTGTTCACACTTGGAACACCCTGGTCTCTTCTGTCTCTGAGGACATATGCTATCTGCAGTTAGGCAGCTGGCCATGCAAGACTAGCCACTGGCATTACTACTGCCTCCCCAGCCTTATTCAGATACAGTCTCCACTGCAGACCTCCCTGTGGAGTGGACATACCCGGCTATATCATGTCCATATTTGGGACAACATAAATCACTGTGGTTCCCTTCATTTTCTTTGTGAAAATTCAAGCTGAGTTTCTGCCACTGGATTGATTTTGCTATTTATCATGTTTAGAGAAATGGGTTTATTCTTTTTATATAGGCTATGATTTATAGGAAAGGCATTTAACTCTTCTGTGACATGGGATCTACAGTTATACAAAGGGAAAGTAGGCATAACTGGTGATCTGGTCTGGAGGTGGACAAGCAAGCTTATGGGGCTATTTGTGGGGAGGGAAAAAGAAAGAATGGTTGTTCTTCCACCTCTTTTGATGAGAGTCCTGGAGTAGCACATTTGTTTCAGACTGAAGATAGTTTCTTAAACCTGAGCATGACCATGATATGGTAAAAATGGAAAGTACCAGTTAGTACAAAGCAAGACCTCTGCATTTCTTGTGGTTTGGGCTGTCTGTGAGGCCTTATAATGCATGACATGCAAATGGCTGTGAATTCATACATGGGATCAGCATCTCAAAGTCTGAGGCAGTTCTCCATAGAACCCATTTACGGAGAAGAGGTGGGGAGGCAGTTGCTGGGACAGTATTAATGGTGATAGACTCTCCTGGGACAGCCCACATCATGGAAAAGACATCTGCCTTGAGGCTAGCGCATTGCACACAGCTCCAATTTGTGTCCTGGTTTGTAGGCGTTTTAAGATCTGCTTCTGCTGTTGCCCAGACAGAGGTCTACAAGGTGATGACTTATGGGATAGGAGGCCTGTTTCCCTGTAAGCATCCCCTCCATTCTCCAGGAAAGGGGATACATGACTTGGGACTTCACAGCAATTTAGAGTGGGTGTATGCAATGCAATATATCTGATCCTTGACCTCATATATCTGTCAGTCACTTCCCATTTTGTTTCTAGAGAGGGCAGAGAGAGCAAAGGAAGACAGAGAGGAAATTGGAGCTCCCAGAGGGATATCAGTTATTGAAGGTGAATTGGAAGAATTGGAACTGGTCCAGAGAAGAGCAGAGAGCCTATTTAACAGTTGAAGGGACTGATTTACGATGAACGATGAAAAGAATTAAATATATATGACTGGGCTAAATGGCAATGAAGGGAAAGCCATGGTAACAATCTACAGATCTCTGAGGGAGGATAGTGGCCATGACAGAGAGGAGTTACTTAGTGTGGCCCATGGAAATAATTGGATGAGACTTGCAGAAGGAAACTTCTGGTTGGACATCAGGGAAACCTTTTTTTCCGACATTGATATTCCTCTGACTGTGGGATGGAATTCCAAGGGAGCAGGGGTCAGGTGAGATGTGGGTCAGACAAGCCCCAGTGTTCCTAATTAATCAGTTTTATATTTTTAGATATTGAGAAACCACAACAGGCTGGGAGCTGGGATGGGGAATGGCAGCAGGAATCAAGATCATTTGGGGTCTAACTTCTGAGAGCCTTTGGGCATTGGTGTTTCTACGGGAAAAGAAAAGAATTGCAGATGTATTTCTAAAGTTGGTAAAAAGCACTTACATGAAAATTGTTAGTGAAAAAAATTAAAATGATTGGGTTTATTCTTTCCTACCCCCAGATTACACACAGTATTTCTCTGAGGTGTAGTCTGTGTATCCAGTGGGGACAGGGGTGGAGCATATTCACCAGAGAATTATGTGTTTAAGGCACATCTGTGGGGGTGTGTGTGGCATTGAGTCATTGGCAGGGTAGGAAGTGACTTGGGTCTTGAGAAGATAAGATCTTTTCTACATTTCATGGACTCCCCTGGCTACTTACTTTTGAAATGTGGAGAATATATTGGCTGTTCAAAAGATGAAGTTCATCCACTTCCAATTTAACATTTCAAAAATTTACAAAGGACAAAGAAGGTCCATGAGGGGTTTTTGTGTGGGTTGTGGGAGGAAAGTGTGATCATTAATGGAAATGGATATCTTCATAAAGAAGTCGGTCTGCTGAAGGTCAGAGGGACTGGCCTGCAGTGGGGAGAAGAAGAGAGTGAGAGGTGGTCAGCAGAAGCCTCAGTGCCCTGCATTCTCAGGTTCACTGCCCAATAAGCTCCCATTGTGGGAATTTGCTCAGGCTGACTAGTAAAGGAAATTTGTCTCCCTTTATAGCCATTATTAATGTCCTGTTACAGATGTATGGCACTTTACAATTTATAAGCATGTTCATATTTCTTATTTTTATCAAGCCTATAGTAGGTGGGTCAAATGTTTGCTTCCTTTTATAAATGAAGTAACTGGAATCCAGATGTTTGATAAAACATTTTTAAGGTCATTCAGATACAAAGTGGTAGGCCTAGAAACTTTCATTTATGTGTTGAGAGGTCATGAAATGCTAGATGCTGTGCTAGGTAGTGATTAGAACCACAGTTCTCCTTTTCTTCAAATCAGAGCTCTTTTCACTAGAGGAATAATCTCAAGGTGATGATTACAAACAACCAAGACAGGTCAATAGATGGAAAGATTTACATTATCTTTGTTAGGCAGCTATGCAACAAAATATTTGGAACTTGGAAA